GCTGAATATTTGGTTATTAGCCTAACACTCAACTCACTGCACTATCAGGGCTCCTTCTAGGCCAGGTCAAATATCTTGTCTAAGACATTCTCCTCAATATCCAAAAGTAAAAATGTAAAATCAACTTGCACGTGTCTGGGATAAATGAATGGACTGAGATGTACACACATTAGATTGTTTAAAAGATTGAGAGGCAAAGCCAGGAAGTGCCTTTAGACATTACAGCATTCATGAGTTATAAAGGGAGATTTAAAAAGCCACATACATATACCCAGTCTAAGGCCTATATTAAGAAAAAAGCTGAAAAGTCTTGTGCTCATTTACAGGCTTAGTGTTAGCCTGTGTTAAAGAATGTCCAAAAAGAGTCAATTCTCAAAGGCCAGCAGAGGAGTTTGATTTTTGTAAGCTCCTTGCTTTATTAAAAACTGAACTTTTGTGCATCACTGAAGACTGTCAAGAGAGTGAAGACAGCCACAGAAAAGGAGAAAATAGTTGCAAATAATTTATCTGGTACAGGTTTAATATCTAGAATATATAAGGAATTGCCACAACTCAAAAAGTAAAATATAAACAATACAATTAACATACATGTATAACATCTGATCAGATTGAGCAAAAAACCCCAAAACCTGTTTCCCTTAACTCAATTCCAATTCGCAGCAAGACAGAGAAGTGGGTTTCCAAGGCTTTAATATGTACAGGAAAAAAGCCCTTGTGAGCCTAGTGGATTGAAAGCAATGCTACCAAGCCAAAGGTGGGTGACTCTAATCCGTGACCCTAAGGCCTGTTTTTCATTGTTTTCATTCAAACAGTCTTCTAGGATGTATAGCCCTGGTGTGTCCACTTGCCGTACAGAGGTAACTCGTGGTCACTGTGAAGCTGAACACTGTGACACTGATGTGTCAAACACGGTAACGGTTAGCCATGGTGGACAGTATTTGGTGGCACTCCCCGCTTGAAATAAGCTTGGAAGCAGGAGTGGCATCCACTTCCATAAATAGCCTGCCTCCAGAAACCCTATGAACCTGGGGAAAGGATGAAAGGCACCCAAGTGTCGAGTACTTTCATTCATAGGGTTGCTATGAGTCGCCTCGACGGCACTTCACCACCACCACCTACTGGTATAGTGGATTTCATGTTGGGCAACTAACCAAAAAGTCAGTGATTCAAATCCACTAGAATCTCTGTGGACCAAGATGAAAGTTTGCTCCAGTGGAAATTTATAACCTTGGTAACTCTGGGATGGAAAAGTTGTCTAACAATGGAAAGTTGTTGACTCAATGACACTGAGTTTCATTATAACACCAGATTGCCACATCTCTCCCCCACAGAGAACCTGGTGGGTTCAAACTGGACCACACCACCAGAGTTCCTCTCTAACCCTATCGATCCTATAAACTGTTAGACTTGTTCAATATACACCAACTCAGAGGTCTAAATAGGGATTATTGGCAGCTTTTCACTTACAAAAGCTGTCATTTTGCCTAGTTTCAAGGTATCAAGGACATTATGTAGCAAAAAAATTATCCTCAGGACTTCCAACATTGCATACGGAAACAATTACTTGTAGGAGACAAAGTCTCCTGCTAAGATTAATGATCAAAGGCTCAAAGCAGCAATACATCCCTGCTTTTCTCTCATAGGATCAACTGCAAATAAATTTGGACTGTCTTCTGGTAAAACTGACTTCTATTTGCCATTCTTGCATTTAAGTAGCAATTGGTTAACTTTGTCAAAGGAAACTTAGAATTAAGGAAGGTATCTTATAAGAAATTTGAACGAGTAAGACTTTTGAGATATATTTTAAAAGAGGAATGAATCAGATAATAGTTCCTGCTGAGTCAACTCATGTTAAGACCATTCTCTTATGCAGCCATGACCTTTCAGAAACCAGTCACGAGGCATTTCTTCTTAGATGCTTCAGAGGGAGTTCCAACCAGGAACCTCTTATTGAGAATCTAACATCTAACCATTTGTGCTTCCCAAACACTTCAGAATCAGAGGATAAATCCCTATAGAAGATGCTGTGAAAACTAAGTCATTAAAAGTTCATATACATTCCTCAAAAAGTTGCAAATAGAGATACCATTTGACCCAGCAATTCCACTACTAGGAATATACCCCGAAGAGACCATAACTGACATCCAAGCAGATATATGCACACCCATGTTTATTGCAGTTTTGTTCACAATAGCAAGGAGTTGGAAACAACCTAAGTGCCCATC